ATTCTTCTTTACTCTTTAGAGCCGTAACGAGTCTATTGTTCGGTCCACTTCATGAAAATTGACCCTTACATGATAATTTTTTTTTCGATTTTTTCATACTCAACCATACATTGACATGGTTACAAACCATTGCGCCCTTTACTTGAAAGAACTTTAAGTCTACTTATTATATTTATATCGTGATGCGGTTACACTTAGCATGCTATGGAGTGTAGGAAGAGATTTAGGTATCTTCTTTTACCTAGGAAGCCATCTCAAGAGTGACTACATAAGACGAGGCATAGTCTAACCAAACTAAAGCAATACATAATACATGGCGTTGAATAGTAGGATGAAAGGTCAGGACAGTTCAAAATACCAAAAAAACGGCGTTCTATATATGTGCTCCATACGCATATGGATACGAAATTATTTCACTTAGGAATTTATGTTTTCACATTAGTTTATCTAATCATAACTCAATTTCTCTATATATAATAAAAACTTTAACTCTGCCTGGGTCCCACATTAGCATGTGCTGTCTAGAAGATAATGCTTAAGTTTATTTACTTGACCGTAATCGCCAGCCCTACTAACATGGGACTCGAAGTTCTAGCAATCAAGGTCGAGTAATTACATGTGAAAATAATAATTCTTTTTAATTCTTGGAATAATTTATTAGTACAATTTTTTAATTCTATCCTATGTACTCTTTATCTTATTGATACTTGGGAACATAGGAATTGTATAATTTATTTTCCCACTCAATTTAAAACATTAAATGCTGATAAAAAATGGTTAAATACTTTTGGAGGGGAATACGGCTTGACCCATAAAACGGGCTACTTTGCCAATCGATATAGTTACGGTCATTATAAGTCATAGTTAAGATGGCTGGCTTAACTTCGGACAATTATAATGCCGTAATCCATTAGATAGAAAATATTTTCTTTAATTACTCTTGTCTCCTGCCCTTTTTTCTATAATCAGAGAAACGGATTAATCCGGTGTATGCATTGACTATTGTTCTTCTGTCTTGGTGGGAGGAAATTGCCCTAGATTTAATTATAAAATTTTACAAAACTTTAAGATCTTTTTTGGTAGACTAAGCTTTTTTATGTAAATTCCTCTAGTTACAAATCCTTCTGCCTCTACAGAATACTATTAAAATTAGGCTAATCGTTGAGCGTTACATTAACACTTTTACTAAAAACTTGGAAACAAAAACAAAATAGATGCAAGAATACATCACTATCATCTGCTTTTTCCTTCTGAATCCACTTCCGTATTAAAATATTCAAAAATAATATTTTTTCCCCAAGTTCATGGCTTATTTATAGGTGTAATATCTTGACGGTATGAAGACCAAGATGGTGTGGCCCTTTGTGGTCGCAGTCTCCTTTCGTTGTATAAAGGTTGTTTGACCTTGTTTTCGCAACATGGTAATATTGATAGGAAGACTTAGAGGAACGCATCTAGTCCGGAGTCCATTGTCTGCATGACGTCCGCGGTTCAACTTTGGAAATGATGATGCAGACTAGATGCGTTCCTCTAAGTCTTCCTACCAATATGACCATGTTGGGAAAACAAGGTCAAACAACCTCCAATATTTTGACGTTTATCCATTTGTCGGGCTATCTTAGTTTGGTTAATATTAGGCTAGGTAATCTGTAAGAACCTCTATTTCGAGACTTTCAATATTTTTTTCCAAAACTCCTTCTTATATCAACCTGCACTCATTAAGTTAAGCCTTGTACATTTAGGAATTTTTTACTTTTCTTATCTAAGTGGCAGCAGCATAAACCGATGAGAAGAGTTGCTTTTTTCATGGAATTTTCGTTTACCATGCATCCGAGATGTTTATTTTCATGAAGAGTGGGCTAGGCTTTAACTAATCTTGGTTTATACTAAACTCGTGGCGAAATTTTGACCCAGAACTTTCATGCCCACATGAAAAGAGGGTATTTCTTAAACGAATACAGATTTATGACTGCTTGGTTACATAAAAAGCGTGAAATTTAAGTAGCGCTCATAAATTAGCAATGCCGAACTGCTAACATTTTGCATGAGACTTCATTCTCGTCAGTGAAATTTAATAGTTAAACCAAATTTTAATTCATTTGTGCCTCTTACCAACTTTGCTAGGTTACATTTTCTGCGAACATCAACAATATAATCACAAAATAGCAACTTAAATTGCTAGATTATGCACTTATTAAGCATTTTTATTTTTTGTATTTTTATTTAGCAAATATTTATCTCAAAAGAAAAATAAATCCCTAATATTTCTATTTTGCTTATCGTCTTTGCTGGCCGGATAACTTTTCACTCCGACTCCATATCTGTAATACAGTGCTTCATTATTTTCGTATAGAGCTTGTGCTTATCACGAACATCTGTAAGTGACTCACGAAATGCGTTTACGTGTTACACATTATCTCTCTCCTTCGTTTTTTTATAAGCCCCAAACAGAAGGTAGAGTGATTCATCCTGTTTTTCATAAATTAATACGACAGCCTGGAAACATATGGCGACGAATTTTAGACTACATTGGAAGTATTTTGTATACTGTCTAATTTTGAAATCATTTTTTCCAATCACGTTGATCTATAATTAGTAAAATGGAGTTAGTTAATTTCTAACATCCTCAAGTAATAATCGTTCTATTTTAGGTTATAATGGCATAAAGTATTTAAACTCAGGTAAAGCTATATAGGACAATTATTTTCGGAAAATTAGCTTTTCGCATAAGTATAACTGAATTTTTTCATGAAATACCAATATTATTTGAGATGGATTATAAGTTGAATTGCCTTATATATATGGGCAATTTGATACGAAAGCAGATTCATATCCACTATTTAACACATTAAATCTTTATACATTCATATATTTATAAATAAATCTATTCTAGAACATGTCCTTAGGTCTTACTAGGTTTTGATGTATTTTTATTATTATAGAAAGAAATACACGTTGAAAATGGAGTTGAACTTTTAGCACCAGCAGTCCTATTTTTTGGTCCCGTCCTTGTCAAAAACTTGATAGCGCCGAATAATCTAGACTATTTTATAATCATTTGCTCGTTTACCATATATTCTTGATGATTTGGGGTTTGCTTCTGGTTTTTGATGTGGATGCTGATAGACAGATTTTGTCTATATAGGTAATTTTCCTAACCCCGAATGAGTATAACTTCATTAGATTATCATTTTTATCTCTTTGTCTCTGTGGTGAACCAAATGTGTTTCACTTTTCGTTTTTTATCAAAACGTTGATGTATACATTCTGATTACCATCGCAGATTTTCCCTTTAAATGTTTGAATATGCATGACCTTTTCAGTGTATATATATTGGCAATGACAGATTCTTATTCCTGCCTTTTATAGTAGTATCGATTTCTTTATTAGCTCGATATAGGATCGTGCTGATAAACCCCAAGTTAGATTTTTAAAAAGTGGCACTAACTGAATGACCATCTTTTATAAGAACTTTACACACTTTAGGGCATATAATATTATATAGGGCTAATAGATAAATTTTCCCACAAACAACTGCGTTGAATCTCACAGAGCTTTTCTTCCCAAATTGCGTTAAACTTCAGAGCTGAGTGTAGTTTCAACATCGCCTAAGTCTCGTTAGTACCCCCAACGATATTGCAAATTAAGTCTTGTGTGTGAAGGGGTGATACACTGCTATTCATTTGCACAACTAATGGCACCAATAAGTCACGTGACAGATCTGACATTCTACGCACCTTAAGCGTACAATCTGGCATATTCAATCACTAAGTATAATAGGCAATCTAGAAGACGAGTAATTAGAGGAAATAAAACCAAATGACGCAGTTGGTAGGCTCGCAATAATAGGCATTCGCTAAATAAATCCACTATTTCGTTAACCAAATCCTGTAGAATGTATTTTATATGCCCATACTTATTTATCGCGAAACAAATGGGGTAGCTTAATATTAAATATTGAACCGGCTATGCAGTAAGAAGCATATTTTTCATTATGATTAAATGGTACTTGACAGAATTTTCTACGATTGGTTAACATTTTTGAAACAATTTGCTTCTTTCTTTACCGGATCAGATGGCTTATATTATTTGAGGACAAAAATATATATGATTCCTTTGGTAATCCTCTTTAGATTGCTTTTCCATTCATTTATCCGCACTTCAAACTCGGGCATATATAAAAATATGAATATTGGCAGTTCATTTTTCCTTAGTTATTCTTAGCTATGCAGGCTCAGCGCTGTACCACATCAAACTATATTATGCATCAGCAGAATTGAGTGTCTACACTTTAGCACATTTTTTTCTTATTGCTCCACTAATTTTGAGTTTAGATAGATCAACTATCTTTTTTGTGCCACGTGAAGGCCATGATATTGGCTCAAAATGTATATCTAGATTATTATTTGTTAATAGTTCGGTTATCTGCTTAGTAGCCATTACAAGTTCACTTTTATTCCCTTTCTACCTCATTTGTTTTAGACCTATGCAGACAGCCCTTTCGAGTCGAGGTGACGTGACAAAAACCGGTGCTATAGACGGATCTAATAAAAACGTTGATAGAATTAACTCCTCTCTCCCAATGCCATCATATCGACCAAATTTTGATGGAAATGTAGATCCTGCAAATACCATTCTTAATATGATTGATGATGACACTACAACCGACCAGAATAAGAGCCGTACCGACGAGAGCGAGAAAGATGCCAACGGAACTGCCACTTCTGCTGGTTGCTATCATTTGTCTATCAGTCAGATAGCCTCTAGCCATCACCCTCCTAAGAAATTTAATTCAAGATATGCCTCCTTTCAAGAGTCAACTGTAGTTACGAAGAAAAAATGCCATGTTCCTTCTGATCGCGGCTTTGTTAAACCGTTATTTGGGTCAGTATCTGCAAATGTCCCTATCAGAGGAGATAAAATAGGAAAAATGAGCGATTCATCTGAGACAGGGCCAAGAGAAGAAACAACATTAGAAGTTGAAGAAAGGAGTCTTAACTTAGTTGACAAGACGTTTCAGATTAGTCCGTCAGCTGATATGGATGAGAGGGAGTTTAATGTCTCAGGTGAGAGCGATTTTTTCTGTATTCATCGTTAAAAAGTGAGGGGACATTTAATATCTATATTCGTATGCTAGTAGGGTTTTGACATTTAATATCTATGTCATTCGCTCTTTCAGGTAGAC